TGACCCATCTTTTTAGATGTCATCTAGATCATAGCTGGAACCACCTAAAATTATAATGTAAAGTTCATGCTATTTGCTATGTTGATGCTATTTTAGAAGAAACTGAATTTTTACAACAAACTGACACACAAGGTGTGACAGGAATGATGAATTATTAGTGAGTCTTCCCATAACATGCAATACAGTACAGTTTCTCTAATGAGTATTCAGCACGGTGATTGAATGGCTGGGCATTTCACAAGAGCACTGCCTTCTCTGTTTTTTCTCTCAAGATTCTTCCAGTGAACTTCAGCATTTTTAATATAATTCAGGAAATGCGCACCCAGAGACCTTTGTTGGTGCAAACTCAGGTATGTTCAGAAAATTTGGTTTCTTTATACAGTGCCAAGCATAACTAATGTTTTAATTAATTTTGGGTTGTAAAATATTTTATACCATTTTTCTATTAAAAGCACTTAAAGAAGTGAAGAAGCTTTTTTGTCCTATAAAGACATTGCTGTGCTGTAGGAAAATCTTGTGTGTGACAGTAATGATTTTTTAATACTAGAAGTCTCTTGGGGATACATCAAAGGAACAGGTGCTGATGCTTTCAGAAAAAGGGAGAGCAAAGTTCAAGTTATTTAAATGCTCTCTGATAATGTGCCATGAGGACATTTGCCAAACGTATTGCTTAAAGAGTATAGAACCCTTCAAATGCAAATCCTCTCTCAGAATGACATGCCACTATTGTTTGAAACTCATGTCATAATACTATCCTTATTCTCTGTTCATGTTTTACTTGTAAATAAGTCACTGGCCGGGAAATGAAGCACAGCAGGAACTGCAATTTCCTCTTCTACCTTGCCAAATCCAAGCACGACACACAATAACTGCTTATTAAATGGACTTCCCCAAACTCAGTTTGAGAAGTATAATCAGTGCCCCTAAGATTAGATGCCAGAACCAGTAAATATATCTGAACCTTCCTATGTTAGACAGCCTAGACTCGTGAAGTAGAGAAATGAACAAGCAATTGTGACATATCTCAACATGACTCACGGGTGTTATTTTTCAGGGCCAGTATAAGCTGGTCTACGATGCAGTAATTGAACTCTTTAAAAGGCAGATTGAAGCATTCTCCAATCAGACTGATCCTGTTACTGTGGAGGTAAGCCTTCTTGCTGGCTCTACAGAATTTACAACTAGATATTCAGTGACAGTTTTTCCAGAACAATACTGCAAAAGCCTTACAGTATCTATATTTCAAGCTACAATATCACATGCATTCAGCTCTGTATTCTTCCCACTCCTCTTTGCAGCCACTTTTGGTCTAATGTGTGATAACAAGCAACCTAAGATAAAATGAAATCTCATAACTTTAGTCTGAGAACACTGTCATCCCCAAGTGAGTTTAAGAAAGTACCAAGCTTTATTTAAGGCAAAGAGGTAACAATCAAGCATTATACTGAAATAGGAAATAAATGAGTAGGTGGAATTCTCAACCAAGATGAGAAAAGTCCTCTCCAGATACTTAAAACTTACTCTCTTCAGCTTGTATTTGACTGACACCTATCCCCTTCTCTCTTGGATTCTAGTCCTGCCATTGTCCCATTTTGGCAATGTGGTTTTCCTGATTCATCAAGTTTTGTTTTTAGTTTGTTTCCTCTGTTTTTCTCCATAAAGTCTTATGTTGTTAATACAGTGGTCAGCAACAGTCATTAACTAGCCATATGAATTGTAGACAATCAGTTACAGTAATTCAATTTGTAGAAGGACAGCCATGTTAGCCTACTGTACTCCAAAATCAGGAGTCTAGTAGCACTTAATGTGTTTTATAGCTCTGGAACAAAAACTTGCTTGTTCTGTTTTTAGATGATATCTTTATATATTGTAGTAGCAGGCATTGTCCTAAAATGGGAGTGAATAACCTTTTTAGCATAAGGGCCATATTTTGTCCTTTTATCTGCCTGGGACTGCAGAATACGTAGCCAGTGGTGTAATTGTTTGAACAGAATGGGTGGAGAATTTTGCTTTGTGTGTGGGAGGGTGCATTTTGGAAGGTGTATATGGGGGCATATAAGCTTCTGTTACTGTAACCTTACAATAAAGGTAGTGTTAGTACTCATGGTTTTGGTTTCTTGTCTGCACTGCCTTGAAGGGCTGATCTCAATCGTGCAACCCTGATGGAGGGTTGCTGGGACTGGGAATGTCTTTATTAACCAGCAGAAGGAGATATTTATTTATTAATTAAATTTGTATGCCACCCATCTTCCCCAATGGGTGACTCTGGGCAGCTCACAATTAAAATTAAGATATGAGCAGCAACTCTTTTTTTTAAGAAATAGAGGCATGCTTGATAGAGAAATCTTAATAATGTAATATTATGTTATAACTGTTTTTGGCTGGGCAGTGACTAAGAAGTGGGCCCTGACCTACAAGCTGGACTTTGTATCTTTTGCAGACTGAAGTAAACCAGCCTGCAGCCAATATACCTCAGGATCCACATATGGAAAAGTCTTCTGTAAAACAACCAAACAGGTAAAAATAGATATTATTCTTAAATGCAGCACAACATCTGGGTAGAATTAAGGACTTTGGAGGCTTTGGGATTAAACAGATTTACCTGAAAGTCAATCCCATTGAACTCACTGGAATTTCTGTAAATCTCATGAGTTTCAGTTGTGGGGCTAAGTCGTGTAATTTTCTCTCCCAGTGAAACAGGACATAAACATACTCAGTCCTGCCTAATACGTTTGCACTCATAAATATTTCTTAACTACAGAGTAAATAAACTGAATCTAGCCCAATCATCCACCACTATCTAATGTTTCCTTAGAGAAATGTATGAATGGCATGTGTATCAGTGGCTATTGGCTCTGTGAGTAGGGACAGCACCGCTGCAAAGATTGGTGACCAGGTGGCAAGTCCTGGCTGATGAAGTTCTTTCTGGAGAAGGAGAGATTGGGAGATCACCCACTTGTATTCTGAATAGCTGCTTCTTGCGAGGAGAATGCAGGAATTAAGTTTCTTGTGGTTGATTGTAGGTTGAACAGCTTGGGAGCTGAGGGATTTCTATCTCGCTTAAAACCACTATGTAGCCTTTATGGACACTTGACCTGCAAAAACCTCACTTTCTTAAATACTTTCAGATAGAATTAATTTACAACTTAAGAGAGATCTTCCAGATGGCAGGAAAGAATAAAGACGCTCAGTGAGTCACCTTCTTTTTGGAATTAAGAAGAGAGAGAAAAAAAACCCTTATCTTAAATGATTTTGACTTAAAAGCAAAAAGCTTAACAATTGTGATTTAAGAAAGTTTTAAATGGATAAAGGGGATAGTAATTTTAGAAAACAGAAAAATGAATATGAATGTGTGTGTGTGTGTGTGTGTGTGTATATACACACACACACATATATTCACCAATTATCTACTCTCCTTAATAATAAACAATCAGCATTCCCATAAAGATCCAGTCTGTTTCTCTAGTTAATTTTACTATATTCAAAGGCACGTGCATGTATGTATGTATGTATATATATGTATATGTGTGTGTGTGTATATATACACACACACACATATACATATATATACATACATACATACATGCACGTGCCTTTGAATATAGTAAAATTAACTAGAGAAACAGACTGGATCTTTATGGGAATGCTGATTGTTTATTATTAAGGAGAGTAGATAATTGGTGAATTTTACAAAATATAAGCCAGATGTGTGACTG